CAGAAGTGAATCTTATTAATAATTACATTAACCATAAATGGATTCAGCACCTCACTCAAGGCAGAGATTGACAGAGAATTAAAAGAGTGTAAAGGTATGCTGTCTATAAAAGGCACGTTTTCTTGGTAGTTTCAAAGATGTAGGTAGGTTGAATATAAAAGGTGACATAGCTATATCATGCAAACAGCAACCAAAAAAGAGCTAAGTGGCTATATTAATATCAGGCAAATTAGACTTCAAGATAACAGTTGTTAGTACTGACAAGGAATGCTATTTTATAATGGCCGAAGGATCAGCTCATGAAGAAGTCTCAGCAGTCATAAACATATGTGTACCTAATAACAGAGGCCCAAGAATTCACAAAACAAAAACTGACGTAATTGAAGGAAGAAATACACAATTCAGCAGTAATAATTAGAGACTTCAAAACTGCACTTTCAGTGTTAGATTACACATAAGGTCAACAAGGAAATAGAATACCTAGAAAACACTGTGATCCTACCAGACCTCACATATCTGTATAACCCTTTACCCAACAAGAGAATCTACATTGTTCTTAATGTACATGATGTATTCTCCATGAGACATCATATGATAGGCCATAAAGCAAGACTCAAGTTTGAAAGGATGTAAATTATACAAAGCTTACTCTGAAGCCAAAATAGAATGAAATTTGATATCAGTAAAGGGAATTAGGAAATTTACAACTACATGGAAATTGAACAAGACTCAGTATCTGTAACAACCCAGGAGTTAAAGAAGGAATCAAAAAGGAAATTAGGAGATACTTTGAAAGGAATGAAAACAAAAATGCTGCATACCAAAACTTATAGATAGGGGCAAGCAGGTAGTGTGGTGAAAGGCGCTGGAGACCCACATGACCAACCACGTTTTGAGTCTTGGACCTGGTGGCTTGCTTTCTTACTTTCCTCTCTCACTCTCTGTCTCTCCCTGGTCAAATTAAGACATAATAAAGTTAAATAAAATAATTCTTAAAAAAAAAAAACTTGTGGGTGTAGGTAGAGCAGTCCTTAAAGAAAAATGTATAGCTGTAAGCACCTATATATAAAGAAGAAATATCTCAATACCTCATTTTTGCCTTCGGAAACCAGGAAAGAATGGAAAACTAAATCTAAAATATGGAAATGGAAGGAAATAATAAAGATTAGAGCATAAATAAATGAAATGAAGACTAGAAAACAATAGAATCAGTAAAACCAGAGGTTGTTTAAGATCAACAAAACTGACACAGCTTTAGCTGCATCATTCATGAAAAATGGAAGAATCAGTTTACTAGATTTAAGAGTGGAAGAGGGACCAGTACTGCTGACCTTAAAGCAGTAAACAGGATTAGATAACCTACATGGACAAGTTCCTGGAAAGACAAACTCCTGAAACTTAAATGACTCCAAATGTTTAAAGAATTAACACTCCTTTACAAACTCTTCCCTGAACTTAGAGGAGAAGGGAATAGGGCCAGCCCCAGTCGTTAAGGGAACCCAGTCCCTCATGACTAACTGCACGGTTCAAATCCAGATCTGGGGGCTAAAAACCATACTGGATGTGTGTGTGCCCCAAATCCCATCAAGATGGAGCAGTGCGGAAAGGGTCAAGGCATGACCACCCCCCGTCGGGGGTGCCTTCTCCTTTCTGTCTCTTTGTTAAGTGCATGTGTCCTCTGGCAAATTAAAACTTTTTGAAAAAATGAAGAGAAGGGAATGCATACTTCTCAACTTACATCGCAAGGTCAGGATTACCCTGATACTAAAGCTAAACAAAGACATCACAAGGAGACTGAAGAGGGCGTCCAAACTAGAAAGGAAGAAGTGAAACGAACTTTATTTCCAGATGACAGATCTTATATGTAGAAAATCCTAAAAAAATAAATGCACAAACTGTGAAGAGTTCATCAGGTGGAAGTATACAATAATCAGTTGTTTTTCTTAAAGTTTATTTCTTTTCATGGGAGAGAGAGAGAGGGAAGGAGAAAGATGAGCACGCTTAGTAGGGTCCCACCTGGCCATCCTCTCCTCCGCCTTGTAGCCAGCTAGCATCCTGGCGTGAAGCGCACATCCAGGGTGTACAGGTCGACCCGAGGACTGAACCTTGATCTTCCATATGGCTTCCAGAGTAGTGTGCTGCCTCCACACCACTGCAGGTAGGCCAGTTTATTTCTTGGTGCTAACATTAGACAAGCTAAAATTGAAATTAAGAACACAACTTCCAGGCTGGCTCTGTGGTGCACTACTCAGGAGATGCCACATTCTGCACAGTGACTATCGTTTGAGCCTCCAGCTGGGTCAGCCAGAGATACATCAGGCATGCAGATGAGTGTGTCTGAGATCCAGTGAACTGGAAGACGGGAAGAAGAGGATCACTGTGTGAAGGGACCCTGTGGAGGGTGCTTAAGGGAGTTGGATCCCACATGACTGACCTCCGTTGAGGGTACTGGTCCTGGTGGCTTAGGAGCTGTGCCAGTGTGTGTGTGTGTCTGTGTGCGTAGACAGCCTAAAATCCCAAATTCTGATGGGAGAGAGGAATAGAGGGAGGGAGGGATGATACCGGCAGGTGGTGTGGTTAAGGTGCTGGACTCACACATAGCCAACCATGGATTGAGTCCTGGACCTGGAGGCTTGCTCTCTGTCTCTCTGTCTCTCTCTCTCTCAAATTAAAAAATAAATAAATAAATAAATAAAATAGAACATTGAGTCATGGTCCAGCCACGGTGGTGCAAGTGAGAAGGTCCTGCTGCGTGGCAGCTGGAATCTGAGGTGGAAGTTCCGTTTCAAGTGGAACTTTCAAATGACCGCATGGGAGGCTCGGGTTTGGTTCCTGGTCCATCCTATAGGCAGGGCATGGTGGTGCACCCACGTGGTCCTAGCTAATGGGGAGGCTGGGCCACAAAGTATTGCGACAATAACAAAAGGTTGACCTGTACCTCAGCTCTGGTTACTTTAACCATTTACTGCTGCTGGGGGCTCTGCTCTGGCTATGTTCGAGGCCACCGTGGGGCTAGCCTGTTCTGACGGACTCTAGGGCAGGGAGGAAGTGGCTAAGGTCCCAGGTACCTGTGGAATGTGTGAGCTGCTTATCAGTTCTCACTCTTCCCATTTCTCAGTGGAATTGGGACAAGCTTACAGTGGGGAGATGTCCTGAGCAAGTGATGTTCCAGCCGGGCACACATCCAGTGAGAAGGCCAAGTGAACAGGAATGCAGAGATTGGCCCGGGGGAGCGTCTGTAAACCAAGGAATGCCAAAGGTGCCAGCCAGCCACCAGAAGCCAGGAGCAGGCGGACAGGGTCTTCCCCACGGGAACCAGCTTCACCTTGATGGCAGACTTCCAGCTCCCAGAATGATGAGAAGAATCTGTGAAGTGTCAGTGGTACGCCGCGGTGGGGAAACCCTCGGCTGGGCGAGGCACCTGTTGGAGGCAGGAAGAAACTGTTAGCAAAGGAGACGAAATAGCAGCCAGAAAAGTTAGCAAATAAAATAGTACGGTAATTCCAACCTCACCATAAAGATGAATCCCATGTTCGTAAGTGTAAGTTAGAGAGGGGGCACTGGTAGGTATTTGGAACAGAACTTCCACCTCAGATTCCAGGTGATTAGTTTTTAGAGGGTTCCTCAGAAGCACATTTTTATATAAAGTAGCCTATGAAGAATAGTGCATATAGATTTAATTCACAATTAAGCCTAATCCATAATTTAGGTTTTTTGGGAACTGTGGGAACAAAACCAAAAAACAGATATAACCACATTTGACTGAAATTAAACCAAAGCATTTTTTTTTTTGGAGAGGTTTTCACTATAGGGCGCGTGCACCCGCCAGACAGAGAGACAGAGAGATAGAAAGCGAGAAATCACCCCCCAGCGGGGATGGCCACGCTGCAATCTCTTCTCCTCCATTCTCCTCTCAGGATCTTGGGCACGCACGCACACGCACCCGGCGTGAGTTTTAAGCCACCGGGTCCGGGACGTGAACCATGGTCAGCTATGTGGGAGTCCAGCGACATAGCCATTACGCTAACTGCTGGTTCCCAAACCAAAGCATTTTTGAGCCAACTACTAGTCTGAAATGGAACTGAACTGAACTCACCTGAACTGGTGAAGTTAAACATAGCTGAAATACTACATTCTGTAAATGGGGAAAAATATTCTTCATTGTCATTCAAGTTAGAGATGGATTTGGATCCTGGGAAAGTTCATGTGACTGTTGCTGATTATTTAGTTTCGCATTATTCCAGATTGTAGGATAATTTTATTTATTTTTTTGAGAGATTTTTTGCTATAGAGTGTTCGCCAGAAAGAGAGAGACAGAGACAGAAAGAAGTCACCCCCCAGGGGATGACCACGCTGCAATCCCTTCTCCATTCTCTCGGGATCTTGAGCACGCACACATACGTGCCCTGCGTGAGTTTAAGCTGCCAGGTCCGGGACTCAAACCGCTGTCAACAACATGAGAGTCCAGTGACATAGCCATTACGCCAACTGCTGGACCCCCAGATTGTGGGATAATATTTAGTAAAAGATCCTTTTGCTTGTCAGCAGTTTGGATGTAGCCAGTATATAGAAGTCTGAGGCTGGGGACTCCATGGCACATGTGCATGTATGTTAGAATGTCTCTAACTCTGCACCTTGTTTTCTGCCTAGACTGTTACTAGGTGTTAAGCCCAAGTAGAAGGAAGATTGATTTAGCTCCTGATTCTACCACTCCAGTTACCTTTGTCCTCACTGACTGAGAATAAGCCATACGCATGTGACTCACAGCTTGCTAATGTAGTGCTTTCGTGTTTTATAACATCTTGGCCGTTACAAAACTCAGGCCTCTTTTACTACCATAAAGAAGTCTAGGGTGATTGGAAGCTTTTCCCCTGCCCTTCAGACCTAGCAGCTTTGGGCCAGCTGTTAAAGGGATCACACTCATGTCTCCAGGTCGTGCGACTTGAGGGAGCCTCTCCCTGTGGACCCCACAGGTTACTTTATTCTGGGTATGATTTCAGGTGAACCACTGTCTCCCAGAGAAGATTGTGGTGTACCGGGATGGAGTGTCTGACGGCCAGCTAAAGACAGTCGCCAACTACGAGATCCCTCAACTACAGAAGTGTTTTGAAGCTTTCGAGAATTACCAGCCCAAGATGGTAGTGTTTGTAGTTCAGAAGAAGATCAGCACCAACCTGTACCTGGCGGCTCCGGAGCACTTCGTGACTCCCTCCCCTGGGACTGTGGTCGACCATACCATAACCAGCTGTGAGTGGTAAGTGGGCGAAGTGTGCTCTGAGAGGAGGCACAGGTTGCCGTTACATGTTTCTGGAGTATTGGGATGGGAGTGCTGCCTGAACAGAAGTACGATCTCTGAGGTTACTCTATTAAAAAAAAGTCTGGGGCCTGCCTGTGGCTGCCTTGTTAAGGAGGCTGGATCCCACATGGCCGACCATGTGGTTCTAGTCTCAGACCCAGCGACATGAGAAACACACCGGATACAGGTGTGTGCGTGGCCAGAATCCCACCCCAGATGGAGAGAGGAAGGGTGGACGGGTTGTAGCATGACTGTTCCCACGGGCGGGGGTGTTTTTGTTTTCTCTCTGTCTCTCTGTATCTCTCCAGCAACTGCACACACTCGCTGGCAAAATAAAAGATAAATAAGGCTAAAAAACTATGAAAAGGGACCAGCAAGTATGGCAGTGGTTACGACGCTGGACTCCCACATGGTCAACTGTGGTTCGAGTGCCAGAGCCAGCACACTAGTGCATGTGCTCGCGTGCCCAAAATCCCAGGAGGAGAAGGAGGAAAAGGGGGAGAAGGGATTGCGGTGTGGCCATCCCTCATGTGGAGTGATTGTTCACTTTCCCTCTCATTCTTTGTGTCTCGCACCCTTTGGCAAAAACTTAAAAAAAAAAAAAAAAGGAAAGAACTATTAAAAATCAATCATGCCTGTACCTTTTTTTTTTTTTTTAAGAGAGAAATTTTTTGTGGTAGGGCGCATGCACTCACCGGAGAGAGGGAGATTTAGACAGAAAGCCATAAATCACCCCCCTGGGGGAGATGGCCACATCACAATCCCTTCACCTCTATTCTCCACTCAGGATCTTGGGCATGTACACACATGCGCTCGGCATGAGTTTTATGCACCCGGGTCTGGGACTCAAACCATAGTCAACTATGTGGGAGTCCAGCCGTGTAACCATTACACCATCTGCTGGTTCAGCCTTTACCGCTTAAGTAGGAAATATAGAACATACATTCTGTTCCTAAGATAGTGTAGGGCTTAACCTACTACGAGGAGGTTCTTAAATAGCCTATTGAGTCATGAGACCTGAGTTCCAATCTTCGTTTGGTCCCTGTGTCCTTGACCCAGTCATTGACCTCTCTGAACCATGGGTGAAAGAGTTAGATTATCTCTTAAGACCATTCCCAGCTCTGTCCACCAAGTCTGTCCAAGCACTCATTGGTGCTCTTTGCGTTCTAGGGTGGATTTCTACCTTCTCGCCCACAATGTGCGGCAGGGCTGCGGCATCCCTACACACTACGTCTGTGTCCTCAACACTGCAAACCTGAGCCCCGATCACATGCAGAGGTGAGCCATGCGGAGCTCACTCTTTCTCCCTCAGGATTGGTACTGGCAGCTGGCTGAGGCAATCCCTGCCCACGCCCAGATAGACGTGTGCCCTGGACTTCCTTCATGCCTTCAACAATAATAGCATCTTTTTAAAGAGTAATTGAACATTTTGTTATGCATTGAAATCACTTGAAGAGCTTTATAAAATACTGATGACAGGTAGTACCTGCAAGCATTCTAGGCATCCAGGTTTTCCACACATGTTGGGGTGATTGTGACCTACAGTTGGTGTGGAGCCCACTGCTCTTAAATGCAGCATATGTGAACAGGGGCCGGCAGGTGGCATGGTGGTTGAGGTGCTGGACTCCCACATGGCTGTCCATGGTTTGTGTCCTGAACCTGGCGGCTTGCTTTCTCACTTTGTCTGTCTCTCTCATTCTCTCTCTCTGGTCAAATTTAAAAAATGATAATGATGAATAAGGTTGAATAAAAGTAATCATTTAAAAAAAGAATATATGAATATTCTGTGGGGGTATTCACACTTCTGTGGCTGCTGCTTATGGACACAGATGATTTTTCTGTTTCGTCTTTTCTGTTTGGATACAAAAATACGCCTAAAGGGAGAGGATTCATCCAAGTCCTCTGACTTAACGAGTGGTGGACACAGACTCAATTCCAGTTACGAAAACAGATCGCCAAGAGCTGCGTCATGATCTCTCAGTTCCCCGGTTTACTGGAAAATGTGTGGGCCATAGCCGCGAACTGTGGAATCACACCCCAGGTTCAAGGTGGAGGGTGACATGGCCCATCTTTTCTTCTTTGGTCCCGCAGGTTGACTTTCAAACTGTGCCACATGTACTGGAATTGGCCCGGGACCATCCGAGTTCCAGCCCCTTGCAAGTATGCCCACAAGCTAGCGTTCCTGTCCGGACAGGTCTTGCACCATGAGCCAGCCATCCAGCTGTGCGAGAACCTGTTCTTCCTGTGAGCGCACGGCGGCGGAGAGGCTGGTAGGAGGGATTAGGCCGGAATTCCGCAGTGACTCTGGCAGAATCAACAGACTGACGTGGGCTGTTGTCTTGGCGTTTTCCCCTTCTCCAATAGAGTAAGAGTTCTTCTCTTTTTCCTTTTAATCCTGATGTCACCAAGAAGCAAAGTTCTCCCTAGGTATCAGCTGGAACTACCCTTGCTGCCCACGTAGAGCAGCTGGTGGTAGTTCGCTGCTGCAGACGGACCGCAGACGGACAGGTGCTGCCAGGGAACCACGAAGGGCCCAGCGAGCCGTGGAGACGTGGAAGCAGCAAGTTCACCCTGAACTGTGCTGACCAAGCAGGTCCTGCTCTCACCCCAGGTGGTGGCGAGTGAAGTCTCCAGTTCCTTCACAGAAGGGAGCTGCTTTGTCCAGGCAGTGGCAAGGTCTTGGAAGGGCTGGGAGGCCGTGTTTTCCAAAAGATACCCTGTGGCTGGGTGGTGTGAAGGCGGTGTGACGCCAGCTGTGACAGTCGGCCCTTTGCCTTCTTGGCCTTCGGGTTTTGTTTTTGTTTTTGTTTTTCAGACATTTTCCAGGACTTGAACTGCAGTTGGCCATGTGGGATTCCAGATGCCTTAACCTTCACCCCACCGGCGGCCGCACCTTCAGGGGTTTTTGATGCCTGAGATTTGAGTTGGATTTGAAGGTAGCCTTCAGCTATTCCTTGGCATCTTGAAAGAGCCCGGAAGCAGTTTTTCCATACCCTTCAGTTACTCGGCAGTGTGCCATGTTGACTCCTCTCTCCCACACACTTGTACACGCACACACACCCCTGTGCTTTGTAACTGATCCTAAGCAAGTTCCCATTTTTAAATAACAAGCAGAACCCACGGAAAAACTTCAACAGCCAGGGAAATTTCGGATGGGGTGCTTTTACTGAACCTCTCTCCTGAGTACGTGGCCTTCCGCTCTGTTTTTATTTATTTGTAAGTGGAATGACTTTCTTTTCCTGCACAATAACTGTTTCCTGGCTGTTGGCTCACTTTGCTAGGGATTTTTCCAAATCCAGGTTAACATTTCCAGACGTCGGCCTCTCAGTACGCTGACACTCACGCCCGCGTCCAGACCGTACAGTTCAGAACAGTGGCACCACGCCTGTCGGCTGCGCTGTGTGGAGAAAGCCCTGCTCTTCTGTTTCCTTTTCCTCCTCCTGTTTATAGTCTTCTTTCAGTCCCATCAGGCTTAATTCTATCTGATTTTGCTTTACTGGGTTTTAAAAGTGAGTTTTACTTCACCTTTCCACATTTATATTTATTTATTTACTTTTTTGGTTTGATAGCAAGGAGGAGACAGCAGAAATCCTCATTTTAAATGACCATGTACGAGAACAGAAACTGTTCGAACCTCTGTACCAGAGGAAAACCAGGGGGGTGTTTAGTTTCTTGTAGCCCTGGCAGAGGCTGCAGAGGCTGCAGGCTGCTGGTCCTCCATCCACTCCTGGGCTTTACTTGGAGTGTGGACATAGGGTCAGGCTAAGACATGGAGCTTCGAAACACTTCGAATTTTCCTTTTGAAGTTGGATTTCTGAGTTGTTGTTGTTTTTTTAAATCAGAACTTGAATATAATACAAAACATTTTCTTACTTTTTATTCTTGTTTTTCTTGCCTAGCTTTTCAGTTTTAATTACCAAATGATTAGGCCATGGGATGAGAAATAAAAGCAAATTTGTATCAGTGTGTATTTGTGTTTGTAGTAGTGTCATTTGTTGATTGTATTGATACAGTTCTCTTCCTTAGAGCCGCTACACTCAGTAGGGTGCGCTTACTCACTGATTACTCTGAGAATAATATTCACTTAATACTCTGTATGCAAGGTGTAGCGCAGTACCGATAGCCAGGTAATGTCATCGCAAAATGGCTGGTAAGAATGCTGGAAGAGGGGACCAGCAGGTGGCATGGTAGTTAAGGTGTTGGACTCCTACATGGCAGACTGCAGTTTAAGTCCTGGGTCTGGCAGCTTGAAAATCATGCTAGGTGTGTGTGCGTGCATGCCCAAAATCCCAGGAGGAGAATGGAGGAGAAAGGATTGCGGTGTGGCCAATCCCTCTGGGGTGATTTTTTACTTTCTCACTGTCTGTCTCTCTTCAATGAACACATACGCCCCGTGGCAAAAACCTAAAATAATAGTAGTATTGGAAAAGGCACTAGCAGTCTCATTTCTGGGACATTTTAAATGTGTATGTATTTTGTTTTCTCTAATGAGAAACAGGTCTTGTTTTGGTCTCATTTCTTATCAGTTTCTATTAGTCTGAGTGAAAATTGGAGAACTAGTTTGTAAGGATGGTCTCCCCATTGCCCTCACTCTTTCTCTAATGCTTGTCCTCATTTGCATGCAGTTCATGCTATGTCTGTATAACCCTTAAAAGTCCTTCCCCAGCCTGGGTGTGTCCTGAGGCTTCCCTGTACATGCTGGGCATAAGAGCTGGGCTGGCCGAGGCTGGGGTAAACTGTGTGAAGACCTTGTTGGGGGCACCTGTTCGTCTCTGTCTCTGTCTGTATATATGCACGTATCATGAGATAAATAAACATTTTTTAAACCATATTTTGGGTGAGCTATAGAATGGTGGTTAAGGTGGCTACATCCTACATGTCCGACCGCACAGTTCAAGTCCTGGACTTGAAGGGTTGAAAACCACACCAGGCGTGTGTGTGTGCACACCCAGATCCCGAGAGGGAAATGGAGAAAGGCTTGCGACATGGCCATCCCCCTGGTGGATGATTTCTCACTCTCTTCCCACCTCTGGTGAATACACACGCACTATGGCAAATTACAAAAAAAGAAAAATTTCATTCTCCCCTTAAACAAAACAAAACCTTCCCAGAGCACCCTGGCTGCTTTCTTCACCATTCTTTTAGAATGTTAAAGGGTTTTTTTTGGTGTTTATTTAGAGAATCCTTTTTTTTTTTTTTTTTTAAGTTCTCATAGGGTGCTTCCACTAGCAAGAGAGAGAGGGAAAGTGAGAAAACATCCCCCTCCCCTATGGAGAATTGTCACACTGCAGTCTCTTCTCTGTCTCTTTCTCCTCTCAGGAGTTGAGGCATGCACACGTGGGCCCATTGTATCTATCAAGCGAGTGTTCCAGGACTTGAACCTTGAACCTTGCAGTTGGCTCTGTACTACCAGCTGCTGTAACCACTACAGCACAGGCTAGCCCTAGAGGCTCCATTACTTTTGTTTAATTTGCTGTAGGGTGTGTGCAGTCACTGGAGAGTGCGGGGTGTGTGTGTGGGGGGGGATGAGAGAGCACCCCCCGGGGGAATGACAACTCTAATCCCTTTTCCTCTCAGCATTTGGAACATACATGCACATGCATCCAGCATGTTTTCCAAGCTGCTGCCAGGTCCAGGAATCAAACCATACAGTTGGCCATGGAGATATAGCCCCCTAGCCTTCATACCACCTGGATGGTGTTAAACTTCATTCTTTTTTTTTTTTTTCAATTAAAACTTTTGTATCAGTGTGTATTTGTGTTTGTAGTAGTGTCATTTGTTGATTGTATTGATACAGTTCTCTTCCTTAGAGCCGCTACACTCAGTAGGGTGCGCTTACTCACTGATTACTCTGAGAATAATATTCACTTAATACTCTGTATGCAAGGTGTAGCGCAGTACCGATAGCCAGGTAATGTCATCGCAAAATGGCTGGTAAGAATGCTGGAAGAGGGGACCAGCAGGTGGCATGGTAGTTAAGGTGTTGGACTCCTACATGGCAGACTGCAGTTTAAGTCCTGGGTCTGGCAGCTTGAAAATCATGCTAGGTGTGTGTGCGTGCATGCCCAAAATCCCAGGAGGAGAATGGAGGAGAAAGGATTGCGGTGTGGCCAATCCCTCTGGGGTGATTTTTTACTTTCTCACTGTCTGTCTCTCTTCAATGAACACATACGCCCCGTGGCAAAAACCTAAAATAATAGTAGTATTGGAAAAGGCACTAGCAGTCTCATTTCTGGGACATTTTAAATGTGTATGTATTTTGTTTTCTCTAATGAGAAACAGGTCTTGTTTTGGTCTCATTTCTTATCAGTTTCTATTAGTCTGAGTGAAAATTGGAGAACTAGTTTGTAAGGATGGTCTCCCCATTGCCCTCACTCTTTCTCTAATGCTTGTCCTCATTTGCATGCAGTTCATGCTATGTCTGTATAACCCTTAAAAGTCCTTCCCCAGCCTGGGTGTGTCCTGAGGCTTCCCTGTACATGCTGGGCATAAGAGCTGGGCTGGCCGAGGCTGGGGTAAACTGTGTGAAGACCTTGTTGGGGGCACCTGTTCGTCTCTGTCTCTGTCTGTATATATGCACGTATCATGAGATAAATAAACATTTTTTAAACCATATTTTGGGTGAGCTATAGAATGGTGGTTAAGGTGGCTACATCCTACATGTCCGACCGCACAGTTCAAGTCCTGGACTTGAAGGGTTGAAAACCACACCAGGCGTGTGTGTGTGCACACCCAGATCCCGAGAGGGAAATGGAGAAAGGCTTGCGACATGGCCATCCCCCTGGTGGATGATTTCTCACTCTCTTCCCACCTCTGGTGAATACACACGCACTATGGCAAATTACAAAAAAAGAAAAATTTCATTCTCCCCTTAAACAAAACAAAACCTTCCCAGAGCACCCTGGCTGCTTTCTTCACCATTCTTTTAGAATGTTAAAGGGTTTTTTTTGGTGTTTATTTAGAGAATCCTTTTTTTTTTTTTTTTTTAAGTTCTCATAGGGTGCTTCCACTAGCAAGAGAGAGAGGGAAAGTGAGAAAACATCCCCCTCCCCTATGGAGAATTGTCACACTGCAGTCTCTTCTCTGTCTCTTTCTCCTCTCAGGAGTTGAGGCATGCACACGTGGGCCCATTGTATCTATCAAGCGAGTGTTCCAGGACTTGAACCTTGAACCTTGCAGTTGGCTCTGTACTACCAGCTGCTGTAACCACTACAGCACAGGCTAGCCCTAGAGGCTCCATTACTTTTGTTTAATTTGCTGTAGGGTGTGTGCAGTCACTGGAGAGTGCGGGGTGTGTGTGTGGGGGGGGATGAGAGAGCACCCCCCGGGGGAATGACAACTCTAATCCCTTTTCCTCTCAGCATTTGGAACATACATGCACATGCATCCAGCATGTTTTCCAAGCTGCTGCCAGGTCCAGGAATCAAACCATACAGTTGGCCATGGAGATATAGCCCCCTAGCCTTCATACCACCTGGATGGTGTTAAACTTCATTCTTTTTTTTTTTTTTCAATTAAAACTTTTGGGGCTAGGAGGTGGCATGATTGTTAAAGGCGCTGGATTCCCACATGGCTGACCACGGTTTGAATCCTGGACCTGGCAGCTTTCTTTCTCCCTTTCCCTTTCTCTCTCTCTCTATCTCTCTGTGGACAAATTAAAATAATAGCAATAATAAATGGAGTTAAATATATAAATAATTATTTAAAAAACCTTTTAAAGGACCAGCAGGTAGCATAATGGCTATGTCGCTGGACTCCCATCGTAGTCAACTGCGGTTCGAGTCCTGGACCCAGAGGCTTAAACTCAGGCCAGGCATGTGTGCGTGCATGCCCAGCATCCCAGCATCCCATCCCAGGAGAATAGGGAAGGGATTGCAGCATGGCCATCCCCCCAGGGGGGTGGTTTCTCACATTCTGTCTGTCTTTCTCTCTCTGTCTTTCTGGTGAGCGCACATGCCCTATAGCAAAAACCTCTCCAAAAAAAAGAAAAAACCTTTTTAATTAATTAAATTTAATTTTTTATTATTTTTAATTTGTTATAAGACACATGTGCCCACCAGAAAGAAACAGAGAGAGGGCAAGTGAGAAAGCAAGCCACCAGGTCTGGGACTTGAACTGTAGTCAGCCATGTGAGAGTCCAGCTCCTTCACCCACCATACCGTTGGTCCCTGAAACTCCATCCTTAAATGATACAGTGCAGGCCAAAGAAAATGATGCAGTGCATCTTGAGCTCATTCTAGAAAGAATTTAATTTCTGTACAGTGTTACAGGGCCCTCTGTGTTTGGACATTTTGTTAGACGGTGTAAAATAGGACAGAGTTTTAGAAATGACTCGCTCTTCATATTGATTTCATTTATTTTTTAGCTGCCAGAGAGCACATGTGTTTATCAGAGAGAGGGCAGTAAGGAGAAGGCACCCCACAGTGGGGCATAGTCATGCTATAATCTCTCCTCTGTTTCTCTGTCCTGGTGAAATTTGTGCCCAGTGTGTTTTTCAAGTCACCGGGTCCAAGATGCAAACTACATATTCAGCTGTGTGGGGTCCAGCTTCGTTAAAATTAACCACTAGGCCACAGACTGGCCCAGTCGCTTCATAATGAAAACCTTTGTATTGGGGACCAGCAGATGGCATAATGGTTATGTCACTGGACTCTGGTGTAGTTTACTGCAGTTCAAGTCCTGGACCTGGCGTCTTAAACTCAATGCCAGGTGCATGTGCATGTATGCCCAAAATCCTGAGAGGAAAATGGAGGAGAAGAGATTGTAGAATGGCTGTTCCCCCAGGGGGCGGGGGGTGATTTCTTGCATTCCTTCTCTCCGTCTGTCTCTATCTCTCTGGCTAGTGCACATACCCTATAGCAAAAATCTCTCAAAAAAGAAAAGAAAAGAGAAGAAAATCCGCTAGTATTTTAACCTGAAATGAATTTCGTAGAGATCTGGGATTACTGGAGGTGATAACCTTATTTTCTCTTCCTAGTCTATGCCTAGCTTGATCTGAGTTTCTTAGTAATATTTCCTCTGTGGAATTTTTTCTTTAAAAAAAAAAAGGAAAACCAAACAATGAGAAGAGAAACCACAGACAGGGAGAAAATATTTGCAAAATATGTATCTGATAGGGGTAGGTGGTATGGGGGTTAAAGATACTGGACTCCCACGTGGCTGACCATGGTTCGAGTCCTAGGCCTGGTGGCTTGTTTTCTCACTTTTCCTCTCTGTCTCACTCTGATCAAATTTTTAAAATAATCTTTATTATTAAGTTGTGTTGTTTTGTTTTGTTTTGCTATAGGGCATGTGTGCTCACCAGAGAGAGACACAGAAATAGAGGGAAAGTGAGAAAGCAAGCCACAAGATCCAGGACTTGAACTATAGCCAGCCATGTGGGCGTCCAGCACCTGAACCACCGCACTACCTGCTGGCCCCTAAAATAATTCTTTAAAAAATACATATCTGGGACCAGCAGGTGGCGTGGTGATTAAGGGCATTAGACTCCCACATGACCGACTGGTTCGAGTCCCAGACCTAGTGGCTTGCTTTCTCACTGCCCCCACCCCAGTCAAAGTAAAACTAAATAAATAATTAAAAATATATACCTGATAAAGTACTGCTGACTTTTCTTTCTTTTTTCCTTCTGCCTTTTTTCCCTCTTTATTAAAATAAAAGTTATCCAAAATACACAACAAACTCAGACTCTTAAAACTTAATAATAACAAGACTAACAACCCAATTAAAAATAGGCAGCAGACTTGGACAGACAACCCAGCCAGATAGTGGAGCAGCAGTAAACTATAACACTCTGCAAGGCTGTCCCACATCGGAAGGTTCCTGGTTCAAATCTGGAGACTAAAAAAAAAAAAAGGGGGACCAGCAGTTGGTGTAATGGCTATCGCTGGACTCCCATGTAGTTAACTGCGGTTTGAGTCCCAGTCCTGGTGGCTTAAACTAATGTGGAAAATGGAGGAGAAGGGATTGAGGCGTGGCCATTCCCCTGGGGGGTGAGTTCTCACTTTCTGTCTCTATCTCTCTATCTCTCTGTCTTTCTGATGAGCACACGTGCCCTATACCAAAACCCTCCCCCCCCAAAAAAAAAAAAGTATATACACCCATTGGAAGGACACAAAGAAAAAGCAGAAAGAACCTACCGATTGCCACTTCATAGTATGCCCTTGTCTGTTTCTCCATTCAGGATTTTGGGCACATATGCACACACATGTGGCATTTTTTTCTTTTTATTATTAAAGAATTATTTAATTAAAGTTATTTATTTTAATTTGATCAGAGAGGAGGCAGATAGAGAGAAAATGAAAAAGTGAGCCACCAGGTCTGGAACTTGAACCGCTATTGGCCATGTGGGAGTCCAGCGCCCTTAGCCACCATGTCACCTGCCAGCCCCTCTGGTGTGTTTTTAAGCTGCCATGTCTGGGACTCAAATCACACAGTTGGTTATGGGATCTAGCCTCCTTCACCACCATACTGCCAACCCTCTATTTTTAATGAGAGAGAGACGTGTTTTTGTTTTGTTTTCTTGAAATTTGCTGTATGGCGTGCACACTAGCTGAAGAGAGAGAGAAAGTGAGAAAGCATGCCCAGCATGTCACAATCCCTTCCTTCTCTGTTCTCCTCTTGGGGTTTTGGGCACACATGCACATGCACATGCACCTGGTGTTGCTTTCAAATCCTGGGTCCAGGATTCAAACCACACAGTTGGGTGTGTGGAATCTAGCTGCCTTAATCACCATGCCACTGGCTGGCCCTCTGTTTTTTTATTATTATTTTTTTTAATGAAGGAAGTAGTGAGACTTCTGGCAACATGGCAGACTGAGCTGATTATTTTGACAAAGGGGTGTTGATAAAGATAGAAAAAAATAAGTTGTCTTTTGTAGTTGAACTTGGAAGAAGTATAAGGAGAAAAGAGAAGAAGGGGTGAGAAAGAGAGGAAGGGTCTAGGTACAAGAAAGAACAGGAAGCCATTGTGATAGTTGATGCCAACACAGCCCATGGTTATGGGCAGAGTATGGGGCGGGAGCACTAGGCTCGTCATCCAGGTACATGACCTCAGGCCCAGTGAGGTGCAGGGTTGCTGAAGGTAAGATCTTGGATGCGGACTGGAAGGGGACTGGAAAGCTGCCACCAGCCATCCCTCTGGTGAACCTTACTCTTGACTAGCAATATGGATAGGGATAAAAGGCATTCAGGAGAAATCCCCAGGCCTGGGCCTGAGTTTGTATCACCAGCATGCTGAAGGGCCACAAGCTGAAATGTTAACCAGAGACTGGCAGCCGGGTGAAAGCTCCAGAGCCCCGCAGAAACCAGTGCAGTCAACGGGGTTACAACACGGACGTACAAACAGCATCCAACAGGAGGGAGTGACAAGGCTCCACACTGTCCAAGAGAAGTTAAAATAGAAGGTGACAGATGATATGGAAGTTGGGAAGACAGAATTTTCCAGAATTAAAGGTATGAGTCACCTAAAAGAAACTCACTGAAGATAAAGAAGTGCAAATCCACTGCTTGATCAACTGTAGTGAAACCCAAGCCAGCATCTTCGATCAGCCAGAAGTGGGTGCTGTGTGGACGGAGCCAGATCCCATGTGGCTGGCTGCATTTCAGACCACAGCTTGGAAAACATGCAAGGGTACATCTGCACAAGTGCCCAGGATCCTGACTAGAGGGAGGAATAGGAGGATTGCGTGTGACCAGATCCCATCCAGGGTCTTGGTCTCTCTCTCATGAGCTCATTTGCCAGAAGCACACAGAAATAAACGATTGCTTATGAAGAGTGACGGCCAAACCACAGCGGACGGCTGCTGAACTGCATGTGCCTGTGACAGAAGGACCAGTGCCTTACAAACGCAACTGTCACCGTGGAAGGCTGTTCCCGGTCAGACATTCATCCAGAGGTGAGACCAAAATTAAGGTCAAAGTGGGACCAGCACTTAGCGTAATGGCTATGTCGCTGGACTCCCACGTAGTCGACCTTGGTTCGAGTCCTGGACTCGGTGGCTTAAACTCACGCTGGGTGCGTGTGCGTGTGTGCCCAAGATCCTGAGAGGAGAATGGAGGAGAAGGGATTGTGGTGTGGCCATCCCCCCCGGGGGGGTCATTTCTCTCTTTCTATCTCTCTGTCCCTCTCTGTCTTCCTGGCGAGTGCATGCACCTTGTAGGAAAAACCTCTTCAAAAAAAATAATAAAAGTAAAGATCAAAGCAAACATTAATGAAGTAACTGAAAAACTGGGTAATTTCTTTTTAAAAAAGCCATTAGTTGATTCTTTGAAAAATTTAACAAAATGGATAAACCAAGATTGTTCAAGAAGTTCTAAAAACAGTCAAGTTATTAAAATCAGGGATGAGAGGAGGCATCACTACTAAACTTACAGAAAAAAGGGTTAGAAGGAAGTACAACGAACAATTGTATGCCAACAGATCCCACAGCTTAGATGACAGGGCCCACATTCCTACAGATGACTTATTTCTGAACCAAGTGTTTTTTCCCCCAGTTGTCTTTTTTGTCTTCTGAAATAACCAGATGATGACAAAAATGACTAACAACTGATGACTCTCAAGATGTTCTCTTTTTGCTAACAGGGTGCGGGGCGCTAGTACGTGAGACCTCTGGCATGATTCTGGGTGGAACAGAGCCTTCACACTCTCTTAGTTCCTCTTGAATTTGTTAGGCCATGCTAAAAAACAGTATTTGATTTTCCCCAATAGAGTGTCAGGAAAATTCGGTCATTGGTGTCCTGGCAGGCTGTCGGCAAAGCTTTATTCTTTCTAGCCAGATTCAGGTTGGCCTTGAGCAAGGCTAAGAGCCCAGGAGTGGAAGAGAGTGCTAGATCCTCCCTACTGGTCAAGTTGCCTCCCCTGCCACAGGACCCTGTGCCTGGTGGGCTGGGTCTTGTTTCCTGCCTGCCTTCCCAAGGCTGTTCCGCTCACCTCAGCTACGGGAAACCTGTCTACGTATCTTGGCTGATAAATGTGGTAACTTATCCGAA